CCGCAATGGTGTAGAAGGGCACAACGCTGCCGGAGAAAGTAATGTCGAGCCTGGTACTTGACGCCTGTACCAGTCTTTCCACGCAAGTGCCACGCCCGTTAGGACCGAAGGCGCACGTTTCGGCAAGCTCCCCGCCAAGGTCAGAAAATCTGTAGCCAGAGGCGTTCTCTTCGAATTCGCCTGAAGAGGGACGCATCACCGATAGCCCATAACGTTCAGAGAAAGACGAACCTCCGAGTTCGACTGGGCGGCTGATGGTGACTGTTGTGCTTGGTCCCTCCTGCACCTCAAAGCTTATGGTGCCGCCCTCTGTGTATGTCGTCCAACCATCCACCCCGACGCCAACTGCAGACACGAAAGTGGTCCCTTTGGCTATGTTTGTAAAACTCGGATGCGCGACGGCGTAAAGCGTTTGCCCGTATACAACTACAGCGAGAAGAGCATGATTGGAAGTCGTTTTGGTCAGCGGCACCTACGCACCGTGAATGTGGGCCAAGAGCAGCATTGCAGTCGCAATGCGCTTCATCGTGTCGAGATGGGGGCAAGGCTGGTATAAGATCATGATTGCGTTGCTTATAACTGGTGGTTAACTTCTGCCGGTATGATTGAACGTACGTTGTTGTGTGAGAACGTATTGCCTTACAGAGGCGCCACATCCCGCTTTTTCGGTGAATTTTGGCCGCGTCGCACCCACGATTGTCCGCGCGAAGCCTCTCTTTTTTTGTTATATTCTGTCACTCAAACGAATTATGAATTCTTCGACCTGCACAGTTGACCGTGACATGCACAAAAGTTCGGTAGCCTCTCAAATCATCGTACAGAACCCAAAAATCTGATTCACACCGGCAGCTAGGAATTTCTATCTCGCTGATCACGGTCGATGTTGGCTTGCAGCTATGTTTTCAGTTCTGCCCTGACACTGCGCGACCGAAATCTCATCATTCCACGGCGGCCCTCACATAAACGTGGTGATCATCATGTGTATCTGTCTCGGTAACCCAGACGCATGTACTATAAATGTCCTCAGGCATCACTTTCCTATCCTGACCTATCCTGACCATCAGATTTGTGCCCATCAGACGAGCCGATCATATGTGTCCCCTACTATTTGCCATTTGGCGTCGAACGGCAATAAGGCCTCGGCCCGTCATAAATGCGGCGGCTACACACTTCTCCGTCTTCATCCATAATCCCTAGACACAACTTTCGAGCGGAAGATTATGCGTAGTCTCCATTACGGGGTATATTACACTCCACGGTTCAACACTGATAGTAAGTTTACGAGTTAAGTGGTTCCGTACTAATATAAAGAACGCTGCTAGAGTATCCAGCACACCAATCCAAACCCCAGGCGCGATGGAACTTTAATGCTAGAAAAAACGTGAGATCCTGACGGGGTGGATTACATGGACCGAGAACTCACATCGAAATGAGGAGATCCGCGAAGAGAGCCAGAGGGCCCACGGCTAAAGCGAGGATGCAACACATCAAAATGGCCGCTTTTTCGCACACCCAAGAGACACTTCGGAAAGTTCAGACGAAGAGGTAGAGAATCAAATGTTATAGTGCTCACCAATAAGCCACACCCGTGATCAAGGCAAGGGGGCTAGAGAGAATAGTCAAGGCCAAAACAACTCCGAGGTGGCAAAGGTATCCTACATAATAAACAAGCCCCATTTGGTTGTGTGGAACACGAAACTGCCCAACCTGACGGAATTATTAGTAGTGCAGTCTACACGGGTCACTGAATAATGACTGACTGTTTACACCACCGTGCAGCGCGTGCTGCGAGCCTGGTTGAAGTTAATGCGGGAAACAAGAGATAAAATGACGGCACATGCCTGCCGGAGAACGATTTCTTTTCGCTGCAGACCGCCGAAGAATCTTTTTGATCGTTCTCGGTGGCCGACGCCGACTCCGCCTGCGTCAAGTTGGCGGGGAGGGACGTGTTGGCCGAGGTCATAAGTTTGAGAGGTTTCCAGGATTTCTCCTGCGAGTCCACGCTAATGTATCGTCGGTTCCTGACCGTCTGTCATGAGATACAGTAAGTACTTGAGTCTAACCTTTCACGCCGAAGGTGGAACAAACCGAAGCTTTTCAGCCCGTTGTCCTCCACAGCGGAAAAAGACCTGAGCTTTGCGGAGTGTTTTTAACACTCGAGCCCCGAGAGACGGTCTCTGGCTCTTGCGAGGCGCGGCATCTGTGCAGAGCTTTTCCTTGGAAGCCGAACTTGTGTCGGCTGGATCGGGCTTTTTAAGCTTCGAGCCGAATACTGCCCTGAAGGACGACTTGAGACTGTCCTTGCGGGTCAAGGGAGGCTCAGGATTGAAGTATGTGGGGACCTTTTCGCATGCCGGTGATATCGAGTTGACTTGCCGCATGTCGCCTAAGTTCTTTTTTCGCAGACCGAAAGCCATTGAGATTAATCTGGTGAGGGGATGGGGGGAAGGGAAGGGTTGACTATGCGGATAGAGTATAGAAGTAGTCTTTTTTATCCCTTTCGGCTGGAGAACAAGGGTAGTGTGGTATTGTCCATATTTCGTATTTTTTCTTGTGTCTGTCCCTTGACCCACCCTTTGGCCACAGTGCCTATGCAACCGACTGTTGTATCTGGCGACCCGACCTTGTGAAAGGCCCCATATAGTTCAAAAACAAAACGAACTTTGTGTAGGATGCGCCCACATTGTGGCCACAACGTGTAAGACGCGCTAACTGTTTCGAGGAGAAATAGGGGGTTGAATGACATCGTGGAATCCAAGTACATAACACCAAGTTAATTCCGAGGATTTCTCTCCAGAACTCCAAAATATTTGCTTCTATCATATGGAATCCTGAACGGTACGGAGGTGTGTGCTGCCTGGACTCAACCACGACTGGTTCAAATCAACCAGTAACCGAATTAGGAAGGAGGCCAAGCCGAATCAAATACCGCTTCGTCCTTTTCCTCAAACCTCCACCATGGCATCCGACCTGCCGCAGACATCGCACTACATTCTCCTGCGCACCTCCCCGCCCGTGGGCGAGCTTGTGCTGCGCCAGGCCCTCCAAGACGCCCTCGCGCAGGCCTTTGGTCTTACGGGCAGCGCGCACCTCGACATCCTGTGGGTCGACCAGACGGCAGGAACCGCTACGGCGACGGACAACCCTACTGGGCGCGGCCTCATCCGCGTCTCCAATGGGTATGTTGGCTGTTAGCATTCGCTGTCTACCGGTGTTCATGGTGAGCTCAGGGAAGACGCGACGCGCGTGTTGGCGGTGATCGTCACGTCGTCGGCCGCGCCGCGGATGGAGCTGATTAAGGCCTCGACGTTCCTGCCCTCCCTGCTAGTGGATGACAGGCCGCTCTGATGTCCGCATCAACTGTCCCGATTCGAGTTCTTGCTCGTTCTTCGCACTGGCCAAGACTTTGACGGCCGTACACTTACGAAACCGTGCCACACGAACCTGCCCCGGGCCTCCCCCCCAATCCCGGTGCCGGCCCGCTGCATGAAGAACGGGCCCTCCCGCCGATGTGATTCATGCGAGAATTTTCTCCTCCTGTGTTGTAGTGCTCTACCACAGCAATTTTTTCCCAGTCCTCGTCGTGGTCTGTGTCCCCCTAATCCTCACCGTACTCACCATTTCTCCTCTGCCGCTTTGAAGGGCACATTCATTTTCAGCATCCGCCTTCGGAGCGCGATGTTATCCCTTCGTTGCATTCGTTCCCTGCGAGAATTAGAATCATCACATCCATTTTTGGCAGTACCTGGCGCGCGCACTTTCGACGGCTTCAAAATCTAGATTGGCCCATGGCTTTCGATGAACGCTGGTGCGCCGACATTCGCCTGATTTATCTGCGGAAGAACGCCCCACCAAAAATTGGTCAAGCCATAAAACTCTAAAAATGAGGCTAGTCTATCGGTCTTGTATTCTGCGCTGAATATGGACCCATGCCCGTGCGGCTTTGAAGGCGCGCCTTTCTTTCTTCTTCGGAGGCGCATGCGATGAGGTTACTCCGGGGAACTTTGCGACGTGAATTATTTCCGCGTTTTCGCCTTCCGGTCTCGTGGCGGTTCAACCGTGGAGCGCGAGGTTGTTTTCGGTTTTCCTGGCCTCCGTACGTCCGGACAGAATTCGGAGTCAACTTCGCGCACCAATTTTTTCCGGTGTGATGTTGATTTATTTGTTCGGCGGGTTTTAAGGAGTTGAACTTGGTCAAGTGCAAGTGCTACTGTATGTCACTGGTTGAACATTTCAAGTTTTCAGTGAAAAAATTGGTGGAAAATGTCCATTTTTTTCACACTTTTTTTCACTGAAACCGTAAGTGAAAAACTTCGAATGTTTTCACTACTTTTTCATTTTTAAGGTGAAAACTTTGAAACAAGTCAAAAAGTGCTGAAAAGGTTTTGAATTTTTCACCTAATTTTTCAGTGCAAAACTTCTGTAAAATCCTGGATATTTTTCACCAATTTTTCCACCGAAAAACTTGAATTGCTCAACCAGTGTGTATACTATTGGTATGCAAGCTTGCTTTGGGCGCGACATATGTTTTTCTGTTCCACGAAAGAAGGACCTCTTCTTGGGTTGGGCTTCGACTTCATGCACTACTTACGGGTCCAGCGAGAGCAATCATTTCGAGCTTTCCGTTAATATTGGCAACTTCGTTTACAGCTATTCACATTGGTTAGCTACCCAAATATAACCTGATGGTATGGCTACCACGCCTGCATGTCTAGTTGGTTCCAAATCTTTCTTTCAGCAGAGCCTCGTTCGATTCGCGGTCAGGTCATCAGCGATCGGAGCAAGTTTTTAGTTTTGGTTCTGGTTTCGACACGGAATTCAAGCTTCAAGTACAGGTTACATAGATATTTGGAGTGACCTGGTGGAGTGCACTTGCTGAAGGGAGGCTCCGGTTGGATTCGAATCAGGTTGAAAGAGTTTGTTTGATGTTCAGCTTTGTTCAATATGTAGACTCCGGTGGAAAATTTGGTTATCACATGAAGTTAGGTTTGCATAAGAATGGCCTGATGGTGGAGTGGTTTCCACACCTGCTTATCTTGAGTTTGGGCTCCAGATGTTTCAGCAGGAGGGCCTTGTTCGATTCGGGGTCAGGTCAATGTTGCGGAAGCCAATACCTTTTGTTCTTGGGTTACGCTCAAGTAAATTTACGCTACTGTTATCTCCCTCTACATTCTACATCCCAGGTTAATTTCAAGGCCGGACAAAATGCGATAAGCGGGAAACGATAAGATAAGATAAATTACTCAAAGCGAATATAAATTGTTTCCTTGCATGCATCTACTTATCTTAGGCGCATTAAATTGAACTCCGCCCTCCAAGGAATTCAAGGAATACCTGGGGCACTGGAATGCAAATTCAACTCACACCACCGCACCGAGACGCCCACTGCTAGCGAAACGAAAAGCCCCACGGTAGCATGTCAACGGCACAGCACGTCCTTTTCATTCCTCTCCACGAGTACACGGTACTGAATATGTAGAAGCCCCAGCAACAGCAACAAAAACAACGTGTGCGTCCAGCGAGTACACGACCGTGCGTACGAGTCCGAGTCCAGCGAGGGTAAGAGTCCCAGGCTCTCAGCATGTATGTAAGGAACGACTGCGGATAAGAACATGTCACGGTGGTGGTACATATGCGTAGGTGCGTATAAATACGGCCGGTGAGGGAGAGTCCAGAGCGCTGAGCGATCAGGCTCTGGATATCAAACCCTGGTATTTGATTCGCCAGGGCGCAGATGAGGGGCCAGGAGTAGTGATGCCCCGTCTTATTCGTTCCCGGGGGCATCGTTCGCACGTCTGGGGGCAAGTTGCAACTTGTGTTCCTTCTAATACATCCTCGGTATATTGCATGACTTATGACCATAACTCTAACCCAACGCGTTCAAGAGACGGGCACACCCTGAGTTTTTTTCTAATCCACCCCCAATGGCAATGGCTGCGCGTAATATCAAATTGCGAAACTCATAGCTAACGTCGTATGTGTGTCAATGTTATAGATTTGTCTGTTCAATGGATAGCTAACTAAATGGATACCCTCCCTCGCACGTGCGACACTAGAACATCTAGATCCCGTCGCGGATGCTCATTTGCGGCGGTGGTAAGAGAAGTAGTAATGGATGTCTTCTGTTCACAGCACTAAAAATGCCTCAGTGTCGAGTCTAATCTGTTCTCCAACTGCACCACTCACAACAATCAAAAACACAAGGGACCCATATAAAGTTGTTAACCAGAGACGAGCACTCCACATCCCCGGGATTCGCTTCACAGCAATTACTACAGAAACCCTTGCATTCCTGTGACGATCCGCTATAAGTAACACAGGTCCACGACACATTTTTGAGAAAAGACAAACCACTGCATCCCCCGCAGATCGGCAAACTGAGGTACCGAGGACTCTGAGGGCAGAGGAAAGCAACGCTATGCTGATGAACATAAATCTGGCACGCATTTCTGAGTGGATTTGATCTCAGGGAACAATAGCGCCGAAATTCGTCCTCCTTTATAATCCAGGCAATACTGATCATCACGCACGTAGCGCCCAACCACAGCCGGAACTCATGTCACTTCACAGCGGCGGCTGACGCACGCTAACACGGCATTGACGCGGTCTCGTACAAGTCAACGAAGCCATATCAATGGAAGTCCGCCGTGGCACACTTGTGAGGTATCAGAGTTCGATTCTGAACCCGTCCGAGATTCTGTCATAAGCATGTTGATATGCATATACAAATGATATCCACGTATAAATATTGGCGCTCATTGGACAGATAGACACAGGAGTTTCGTAAGTGGGACACACTACTCGATCCCACTGTTCATGCGTCCTGATTGTCCGCAAAAGCAAGCTCAAAAAGATAGTAAATGTCGTCCGTTCACAGCACTAGAGTCATATCAGTTTCTAAAATACGTTCTCCGATTCCGCCAAACTTACAACAGTCCGTGAAGCAGGGGATGATTAGATTATCAACCACAGAGGCACATTCTGGATCTGCGGGATTCGCTGCACAGCAATTCCTACAGAAAGTCTTGCATGTCTGTCGCGGCGCCTCTATCAGCAGCGAAAAAAGATTGCTGAGAAAAGACGGACAACTGCATCTCCTCTAGATATGCAGGAGGTTCCAACAACTCCGAAAGCGAAGGACAAAAGCGCTATGGCAACGGGCATAACTGTTGCACGCATGGTTGAGTAGGTTTGCTGGTTGATTGGGTTTGCTCTCGGAAGAATGGCTGGATGAGCAAAAGTTCTGGCCGTCTTTATGTAAATTTATATATATATATAAAGATCTTTGTTTGACGTTCTGGCGTGATCGAGCCACGAGTGATCGACAGAATCGTGCACGAGCGGATCGTCGGAGACCACGTCGCTTCTTGCTCCTGCTCCACGACCATCGTCTCTCCCGTCCAGAGCCCTCGACGAGGTCTTTCCGACTTCATTTTCTTTGCCCGCCCGCCCTCCCATTAATTCTCTGTTACTCCACAGAAATCATTTAAATTTTATTTATAACTGACCTCGCACCGTCTAAATATTTTCATACCGTCTTTTCTACAACAGGGCCAATATTCAGGACTTCTGGGGCTCGGGCATCGCGCCCCAGGATCCTCGCATTTCGCCGGAAAGCCCACCGGGCTTTCACCCGATGGCAAGTACAGGCTAAACATTCTAAACGCAGTGCCCAAGTCAACGCACCGGAGCAACTCACATCCTTCACGCTGCGGCGGCTGACGCGCAATGGACGGGGGATTTATACCTGGGGCATTGGCACAACGTTTGGCGCGGCAATGACGGGCGTCGTGCTCCGTTGAGAATAGCAGTACATAGTCATGATAAATACACCTGTCAAGTCCGAAATCCTCAACTGAGTACCTGAAATATATTGGATATTACCAAATTCTACACTGTTAGGCCGTGACGGCGGATTTCGACCGTCAACCATCTCCTTGTCCAGCCTTGTCCAGCTGTCCTTTAGCTATCACGGAGTGGGATTATGGCACACGTTCAAGTACAACCGCTGTCGGAGGCTGGCCCGGACGGTGCAGTTGAACATTGATTGAGCGATCGCATCAATCCAAATAAGTACCGATGTTGAACTTGGTTCGGTTCCGAGTCTATACTGAATGGCTTCTGAGAGACTTCTAGAGCACGTCAGAATCATTGGAGTCGGTCAAATGAATGATTTAAGTGACACTTGATGCGCTCGGAATATTCCTACTTACCAGCCGGCGACGTCGCCGCGATTCTTGCCAGGCCCGGGCCCTAAGTTTGCAATGACTATAAAGTAGAACGCAGTTTCACCTGGTCCTCCAGATACGCATCCTCCCGAAATCAAACATTTCAACATGCGTCTCGGATTCCTGTTCATCAGCATTGCGCTCCTTTCTTCTGCTTCGGGAGCCCTCACCACTTGTAAAACTGTGGGGGATGCAGCTGTGTGTCTTTTCGAAGTTTTGTCAAATACGTGTTGCTCACCAATAAAACATTGTAGACATGCAAGGCCTTCTGCAGGAGGTGCTGTGCAGCGAATCCCGGAGATGTGGAGTGTACATCTTCTTTTGGCAATGTGCCCAGCCCCTGCTTCACCGACTGCGGTAAGTGGTCTACAGTCAGAGAAAAACTAGCTCAGAGACTGATACATCTGTAGTATTATGAAATATTTGGAATTTACTGCCCATTTGAGGCTTTGCCCAGGAATCAGCACTGGGATTCCAATCTTCAAGTAGTACTAGATACATACAAGTGACATGCAATTTTTTTGGCTCTTTGCGGTACTCCACGTCCTGCCTCTCTAGGATGTTGAAAGTCAAGTGCTTCATGACTTTCACTTCGCTGTCGTTGACCTCGCCGCCGATAGGCCGCTGGGCATGCAGCACTTATACAAAGCCAAGTGAGGGCACTGGTAATGGGTCAGCGCGAAGGTATCCGGAGAGAAACTATACTTGAACTCTATTTAGCAGTATCAGTGCGAGTAGGGAAATGAATCTGCCCGGCTGCAGCGCGGGGCGGTTCAGGAGGACGGCGGATTGCGACTTGTGCATATGGTGCGCATGATTAATTTTTGTCTGAACTTAGATAGGACGTTTGTGGCTAGAAACAATGGGGTTGGGTTTAATCTCAAGCCACAATTACACGGGTACTAAATATGTAGAAGCATCAGCATCAGCAACAGCAACAACAACGCGTGCGTCCAACGATGTGCGTCTTTCAGCAGAGCCTCGCGCGATTCGGGGTCAGGTCATCAGCGATCGGAGGAAGTTTTTAGTTTGGTTCTGGTTTCGACACGGAATTGCACCTGCTGAATGTGGGGAGGCTCCGGTTTGATTCGGATCAGGTTGAAAGACTTCGTTTGATGTTCAACTTCGTTCATATGTAGACTCCGGTGGAAAATCTGCATAGAGACGAAGTTAGGTTTGCATAAGAATGACCTGATGGTGGAGTGGTTTCCACGCCTGTTTAACTTAATTTGGGTTCCAGATGTTTCAGCAGGAGGGCCCTGTTCGATTCGGGGTCAGGTCAATGTTGTGGAAACCAACATTTTTTTTGTTCTTGGGGTTCCGCTCAAGGAAATTTGCGGTACTGTTATCTCCCTCGGCATTTTACACAGGTCAAGTCTTGCCAAGTTTAAGTGCAGACAAAATGCGATAAACGGAAAACGATAAGATAAGATAGGATAAGATAAGATAAATTACTCAAAGCGAATATAAATCGTTTCCTCGCGCGCATCTACTTATCTCAGGCGCATTACAGACCCTAATCTCCGGAATGGAAGTGCGACTTCCGGGATGGAATCACTCTTGGACTTGCTTCCCCGCGATACATTGAACTCCGCCCTCCAAGGAATTCAAGGAATATTTGGGGCACTGGAATGCAAATTCAACTCCCACCACCGCGCCGAGACGCCCACTGCTAGCGAAACGAAAAGCCCTTCGCTGGATACAACACATCTTTTGTATTTCTCTCCACGAGTACACGGTACTAAATATGTAGAAGCCCCAGCAACAGCAACAGCAACAACAACGCGTGCGTCCAGCGAGTAAACGACAGTCTGAGTCCAGCGAGGATAGTCCCGAGCACAAGTATGTAAGGAACGACGGTGGATAA